CCGGGTTCTCCGTCCTCGGGGCCGCTGCGCGCTCCGTGTCCTCTCGTGGGCAATGCTGGCTGCAGCGTCCCAGGCCCCACGTTGCAGCCTTTTTAAACGACGAGGACGAAGGCGGTGGTGAAAACAGCGCCCATGTACCGGGCGCTCAAGTTTGTGAAAGACACGCTTTTCTGGGTCCCAGTCGTGGTTGCTCACACGGAAGCCTTTCAGGTCTTTTGGCCAAAATCAGCTTACACCATGTAGGACCGTTTCCTAAAGGTTCTTAATGGAGTCGCTTGAAAAATATGTTGTATTGATTTAGAGAGAGAGAGAGAGAGAGAAAGCATCGACGTGAGAAGGAAACATGGGTGAGTTGCCGCCCATAGGCACCCCGACGTGGGGCAGGGGTGCCTCTAACCGCAACTTGGATGGACGGGAATCGAACCCGTAACCCTTGGGGGGGCCCGGGAGGGCGCTCCACCCACTGAGCCACCCTGTCAGGGCTGCATCGAGCCACTTTTAAAATTTAAATTTGCTTGAAACCTTTAAGCCTGTCATAAACGTAAAACTAGGTTCACTTGTCATGTGCAGAAGGTTATGATAAGTTAATATAAAGTGAAGACAGGTCCTTGTTCATGATTCCGGCCAGGTCTCCCTGTCTCAAGCTCTGCGATAGAGTCCCTTCGTGAAGCGAGGAACGTCAGGGTTCACAGATGGTCAACGAGGGGTGTCAGACGCTCCTGGGAGCAGTCGGCCGTTTCTAACAGGAATCGGAGAGAGTCGCTTGCTCCTCGGGTGCCTGCTGTCATCGAAGATCACGCTGTGCCCCCCTCTCCCCCCCAGGCGCCGCTCCCGATCGATCGTCTGCATCGCCTTTGCCCGCGGGGGGCCTTCCTGGGCTGCAGCCACAGCCACCCCTGAGGTAGGGACCTCTTTTCTCACTGGGTCTGCGAGGAGGACACGGCCTGGAGGGAAGGGCAGGGACTGGTCCCAGGACTCAGCCTCCAGCTCAGGGCTTCCCTGGCTCCACTCCCACCAGCTGTGGGCTCCCCCGATGGTGGTTGGTGACTGATTTGTTAGGGTACGGGAGGGGGTGCTGCCCACCTCGATGGGCTGTGGTGACAGCCAGGAGAGAGATAGCAGAGGGAGGATGCTCCCTGACCCGAGAGCTCCATGAAATGTAGGCTCTGCTCTTTTTTTTTTTTTCAATTGATCTCAGAGAGGAAGGGAGAGGGAGAGAGAGAGAAACATCAATGATGAGAGGGAATCATGGATCGGCTGCCTCCTGCACACCCCCTACTAGGGATCGAGCCTGCAACCTGGGCCTGTCACCTGACCGGGAATCGAACCCAGGACCCTTCAGTCCGCAGGCTGACACTCTATCCACTGAGCTACACCGGCCAGGGCTATCCTTTGCTCTCTTAAATGTTGGGGGTCACCAGGGAGTTGACGGCATCCCCAGATGAGATGGTGGCAAGAGGAGGCGGCACGATAATGGGGTTAAGAGCACTGATGGGACATCCCAGCTGTGTCGGCCGGGGCAAGTCATTCCGCTTTCTGATGCTCCGTGTTCTCATCTATAAAACGTGCTTGTTCTTCTCTGAAAGGTTTGTATAAAGAGCAAATGAGAACATTACCCACAGAGTGCTTAGGTCAAGGACCAGCTCACGGTGATGAGGCAGTAGTATCAGGGACGTGCTGTCGGCCGGGCTGAGGTGCTTGGTCAGTGGTGTGGTGGTGCCTTTACAGGAGGTGGAGAGGAGGAAGATGAGTTCATTTCGGACAGGCCGAGGGATGACCCTTCGCCCTCCTTTTACAGAGGATTTAATTGCAGCTTGGGAGGGTTATCTGTTTTTCTTTTATTTATTTGTTTATTTATTTATTTATTTAAATATATTTTATTGATTTT